AGGGAGGTGTGGGCTTGTGGAATGAATGTGTATTTACACCTGGAACCTGTCTTGACCAGGTATGCATGGTTTGGAGGAGATATCCTCCCATGTGGCCCTGATCTGTCACCTGATGGAATAAAACATACCTCTCTACAATTTCAAGTTATTAAGTCCTGATTCCCAAAATCAGCTGTTACTGCAGCTGGAAAGACAAACCCTTCACCAGGAGCCAGCACAGCCCATCCAGGAGCCACTCATTCCTGGGGCAGAGATAGGATCTCTCGCTGCCTCCCCACACAACCACTTTTACATGAGGCTGAAATGGAGGTGTAGCAGCAGAACAAGCCCTGCCTCTGCTTTTACCACCTGCTTATGAAAGCTGGTGTTAGCATTTGTCATAATAATAACAATAATAATAATAATAATAATAATAATAATAATAATACTTTGCACTTCCAAACAACCCTCCATCTGCAGCACTCAAGCTACTGGCAAACCTTTAATTAGACTGTACCTCCCACCACCCCAGGAAGGAGACAAACATCACATTTTTTCATTAGCACCGAGGCTGATGATCAGCCTTCAGGGAGAAGATGTTGCAGTTACAGCTGAGAGAAAAAGAAAAAAAAAAAATTTAAAAAAATAATAATAAAAAAATGAAATCAAGTTCAATTCAGTGTTTAGCTTTAGGAGCTGGAGGGGGTCAGATACAGCTCTGCCACCTTCAGTCTTTTCCTAGGAGTAAGAAGGAGGTAGATTCCCTAAGCAACTGAAATGGAATCACATCCATTTGTGCCCACAGTGATTTTAGCATGCCCAGAGTGGCAATGACCTGCTAGGGGATTTGGAGGGATTTGCTATCTTTTCTCACAACCACCTGTCAGAGTTAAATCCTCATTTTTCTTTTCAGGATGGTTTAAAAGAAACCTCTTTTTCTCAGCTATTTAAGGCACTGAACACTTCTTTCACTGTCTGTAATTTAAGTTGCCCTTTTTATAGGGGCTTTCTCTCTGGCCTTTACTCTTTACTAGCCCTTTATGGAAAAAGGCACATTGATCCTCTGTGTAGATACTTTTCAGCTGGGCCTTGTTTCCTCCTGTCACTCTCCAGCTGTTGCATTCCCACCTCACTTTTCCCCACTTTCTCCAAGGGCTTGACTCCTACTTCTTGGGAAGCAGCTTCTTGCCCTTTGGGGTAGTTGTTTGTAGAGGCAGGTGGTTGTAGAAAGGAAAATTGAGCTGAAAGAAGTCCCCTTCAGCAGATGGCAATGCTGCTTTTTTTCCCAGCAAAAAAGGTATGGTTTTTGTCCTGCATTATTTTCAGGGGTAGGTCTGTAAGGAAGAATTCCTATGAGGGTTGTATTTCTCCCTATGCTTGGATTTAATGTTGTAACAAGTTTCCTAAGCTTAAGCTTAGGTGAAACTGCATTTGTGGAATTTGCCACTGTGGGCTTCTCAGGACTCTTTTGCAGGTGTACTCATCCCTGTTCCAGTCATCCTCCTTCTCAGGCACTGTTGGAAGTGAATAGTGATGGTTGTAGGGCACAGCCTCTTGTTTTCCTCCCTTTCTCCCACTTGATGTGAAGATATGGGAATAAAAGGCTTATGGCTGTGGCTTGGTGGCTTTTCTGGCTGTGCTGGATCACAGCCCATCATCCTGGGGAGGCTGCTTTGCTTCTGTGCTGCTCCAGCCTTGGGTTTCTGTGGAGCACTGGCTCACATGTCTGGCTCTGGGCAGGCCTGGTCCTGAGGCTTGCTTGGGGTAGATTTGGCAACAGAGTGAGAGAAATACACTTCCCAGGAGAACTGCTGGTTTGAGAATGTGGCTGCCCCAGGGTCAGGGGCTTGGGCAGTGCTCTGGGGTGATGCTGAATGTTTCTTCACCATCACCTCGATGCTGTGGAAGGACATGGGGTCACTCAGGTGGCCTGAGGTATTTATTTGCATGAAGCACTTGCACTGTTCATCTCTGCAGCCATCAGTGGGATGGGCAGCAGCTTTAAGGTGGCTTGTGTCTATGGTTGCTTGGTGAAGGGCAGTTCTGTGTATTGGAGAGGAAAAAAGGAGTGGAAACAGGCTACTGTGTCCTGCCTGCCCATCTTTTGGGCAGCTGCTGTGGGCTGGGAGGTGAAGCTCTCAAAGGCTCTGCTCTGGTTTGTGAGTTCCTGGCCCAAAATCTCCTGTCCTCAGGCAACTTTTATGCCACTGGACCCCCTAAAAGAGTTATTGTGTCCCTGGCAACCCAGTTCACAGACTTCCAGCAGAGCCCTGTCAGACCTTGCTGCTGCCTTATCTCTTCTTGGCTCTTTCCCCAGTCATTCCCAACCCTATCCTAACAACTGAATGTACATGGTTGGCATGGGAACAGGAACTGGCTGCTTATGCGGATTTTTGTGGCAATCTACAGGGGAGTTGTTGGCTGTGTTTTTAACAGCAGACAGGAGGTGGCCCAGGTTGTGAAAGGTGGTTGACTCAGAGTGCTTTGAACTGGCCCATGGGATGTTTGGCTCCAAACATCCTGTCTAAGGGGCACCTCCCCGTGGTGGCTTCTCCCTTTATCTGCCTCTTCTGAGTAATAACCTCCTTGTTGGCACACCTGGTGAGGGAGAAGGACAGGCAGGATTACAGGTAAACTCTTCCATCCATACATTGGTGAGCAGCTGTGCCATGGGATGGACATGGCTGCTGGAACTTGGAAAGAAGGGACTTGGGGAGAATATCCATGAGAGATGAAGTTTCAGTGTAATGACAGTTGTGGGTGAGGCTGGTGGAAGTGGTGCTGATGATGCCAGTAATCTCTGGCTTTAGACCCTTTTTAGGGGGGTTATTGTGTTTTGGAGCTGCATCATAGCAGAGGATGGGAGTTGTTCAGGCTGAAGAAGAGAAGGCTCTGGAGAGCCCTTAGAGCCCCTTCCAGTGCCTAGAGGGGCTCCAAGAGAGCTGGAGAGGGACACCAGGAGTGTCAGGACAAGGGAGAATGGCTTCCCACTGCCAGAGGGCAGGGTTAGATGGGATATTAGGAGGAAATCCTCCCCTATGAGGGTGGGGAGGCCCTGGCACAGGTTGCCCAGACAAGCTGTGACTGCCCCATACCTGGAAGCATCCAAGGATGATGGAAGATTCACAAAGAGAAGACCCTCTCATATGTCTGCAGCCAGGCACTGAGCTTGCCCCCTGCACACAAGCTGTCTGTCCTGGAATGCAGATGGTGCAGGGCAGTTCTGTGTACTGGAGAGGAAAAAAGGAGTGGAAACAGGCTACTGTGTCCTGCCTACTGTTGGGAATACTGGTGTATCCAGAGAGACAGTAGCAATCCTCTCCACTAGTGCAGGTGGGGTCAAAATCATGGATGGTGATGGATCTGGAGCTGCAGTGGCTTCAGGAGAGAGCCTGGAGTTTGGGCAGGAATGCAGTCCAAGCCAAGCCTGAGGAGGCTGCAAGCAGTCAGGCACAGCTCTGGAAGGACAGCAGGCAGCTCCTGTATGGTGATTAGTCAGGAGCATCACATCCTGGAAGCTGTGGAGGGAGGAAGGGCAGCTCAGGTTATAACTTCTGTCTGCAGCCATATTTCATGTGCTCTGACAGACAGACCATCTCCCAGGAGGAATAAATAACCTAGTGTCTCTGCTCTTTCCTGGCTCCACTTACTTGGAGCTAAATGAGCTTTTATGTGAGTGTGGGCTCCAAAGCTGGAGTGGGGAAAGCCAGCAGGTCAGGGGTGTCAGGGTTGGGCTCATTGGGCTGGTCAAGGGGCTCTGTGAATGTGGGGGTTCTTTTCCTGTGCTTCAAATATGTGAGCTGTGCAAGTGGGCTGGACTGTTGCTTGGAAATGTCTGATTTTGCTGCAGAGTAGTGGCTGTTTAATAAAAGGAGGTGGGAATTTTTTTTTTTTTTTTTTTTTTTTGGTGAGTTACATGAGAATTTCTGCTTGTCTGATGGTGGTTTGGGACATCTCCGGTACAAGAGAGATGTCACAGGACATGACTGGATTCTTGGAATTGTTCAAGGTGAGAGGAATGATGAGCTTGTCTTTACAAACAAGCTGTGGGTCAGTTGATAAGATGTAGCTATCAGTGAGAGACGACAGAAACAATGAGATGGATTCCAGTAGAAGATCAAACAGGCACTGAAAGAACACTATGAATTCCATAAAAGTTAAGAAGGGATTATGCATTGGGGGTGGGGGGGGAAGGTACCCCAGGTATCAGGCGTTCCGGGAAGCCTGTACCTCTCAAGTACCTCAGCCTATGGGGAAAGGGAGAAGGGACAAGCAGCCGGGAATTAGGATAAAAAGGAAGCTGCGCCCTCCAAAAATTTGAGAGACCCCAAAGGAATGCCCCATGGCCTCTCCCTTTATTCGAATAAAGAAAAAGGACTCCTCTGTCTCCTTTTTGGACATAAACCTCTGGTGTTCGTGGATTAATTTTCCTGACAAAGGCCAGGTTGGATGGGGTTTGGAACAACCTGGTCCAGTGGAACATGTCCCTTCCCTCCCTGCAGGGAGTTGGAATGAGATGAACTCTAAGGTCCCTTCCAGCCCAAACCATTCTGGGATCTGTGGTGGCTGTTCAAGGGCTGTTTCCAGTTGCTGGGAAGCAAAGGAGACTCATGACAGCTCCCCAAAGCCTAGCTGGATTGGGCTGCAGAGGGGTTGCAAAACAAGAGGATTCCTGGCACTGGAAGAGCAAGGCTGGGGAGAGGGATGGTCATGGTAGGAGATTCCAGGGACAGGTCTCAAACAGCAGGTTGGGTCTGCTGGTAACTCAGGTGAAGGGAGAGATGGAGGGTGGATGTGGGGTGACAGATCCCCAGGTTAATTCTGGATGCTGGCATGGATTGGAGCAGCCTCTGGAGCTGTAGGTGGAACACGTTTGTCATTTCTGGGCTCTGGAATGTCTCTGCTCTCCTCTCTTCTACTTCATCACATCAAATTAACATTCCTGGCATGTCTCTTCATCAGGGTGCACTCCAACTACAGGCTGCTGCCCTTGCAGTCACAAGTAGGACAATGGTAAAATTTGGTTATATATCACACAGTTGTGCTATGCTTAAATGTGTCTTGTTGTTGGTTACCTCAGATGTAGATGTCTCTGCTGGGAAGATGAGTGTCCTGGCTGGTGTGCCCAGACTATAATCAAGAAAGATGTGGGCTCTCCTGAGGCATCAGCCACCTCACCCTAATGCAGGCACCCAAAATAGAGCAGAGAGCTATCCCTGGTCCCCAGCTCCTGGATAGGGCATTTCTCACCTACTTGAAAGACTGTTTAGTAATTTCCATCCTGAAAGGAAACCTTAGCACAGATTTGAGTCTCAGATTGCATGTGTCCCAGAGATGCAAAGGATGCCAATGGCTTCTACATTCCAGTCCTGTGTTTGCCACACAGAGCTGAGCCAGTCTGACCCATGTCAGTTCTACAGCTATAACCTGATCTGGAATGTCTTGCAGAGCTCTCCCTCACCTCAGGCACTTGCCACGCCACATCCTATCCTTGTTTTGCAGAGCCTAATTACTTTCTAGCGTGGGAGGACTTGGAGAACATGCTGGAGTTGTTCATCCAGCCTTTTTGATTTGCTTTGGTATTTATAAACACAGTGAGGATATGATTTGTGATGCAAGGCCAGGTCAGTGTGGAAGCTTTGGGGTGAGTAATGCCTTCCTCTGCACATCTGAGCTGCAGAAAAGGACCAGAAAACCCATGAGGAGGAGAAAAGTGAATCCTCCGCAGGTGGTAGAAGCTTACAGAGAGCAAGGAGAGAGGTCTTTCTGGAGGGAGCAAGACAATCCCCAGGTAAAACAATGCTGGAAACACATAGATCATTGTTTGTTCCTTTCTGTGCTTGCTGCAATTCTAAGGAATTTTGGTATGGGCTGAAATACTTTGTATGTATAAAGATATAAATTTTCTGTACCTTTGCTCCTCGTCATCCTTCTTGGTTGGTACTCTGTCATTCATCTGACTTAGTCAAGGCTTTTTTTATGCCTTCAGTCTTTGAGCTCTTCCTATGGCGAGGGAATCTCTTGTGTCAAATCACCACTTGTGTGCCACACAAAAGTTGTGTGGAATATGCATGAAACTCTTTTTCCAAATGTTAATGGTTCCTAGGTTGCCTTGTCCTGCACAGCCCAGAAAAGCCTTCACTGGCTGGAGCTCCTTATCTAGCACTGAATTTGCACCCTGGAAATTGCCTAATTTGAAGCAAGTTTATGGTCTAAGGAAATAACTGTCATGTTGCTTTTTATTGGTAAAAACTTTGTTGTGTTTCCTCTTCTAAGAGCTGTTAGGCTTTCTTGGGCACTACTGTATTGTTTTCTGGCATGAAGTCCTGATGGTTTTATGTGCAGACACATAAATACATATATACACACATATATATATACAGTGTATATATACACAGCTTCCCTGTGCTGATATCCCATTTCTGCTATTCCCTGTTTGCAGCTGAGCCATGTGCACCTGCTCTGTCGGGATCTGGGATGCTGAGCAGCCCAAGAGTCCCTTGGCGATGCTTAGATCGGTCCTCAGGCATTGTTTTTTCTTGCAGGTGCAGAGAATGAGTCCAGTGCCAACAAACTTCCTGGGCAGTGCCCTCCGGGGCACTTTCTTCTTCACCTTTGGCCTGTGGTGGTCGGTGCGGTACCCCCTGAAGTACCTGAGGAGGAAAGGTGACGCCGAGGGCCAGCTGGGCCATGGGCGCACAGAGGTCTTTGAAGGCGCAGTCAAAGCTTTCTTTGCGTTAGTAGGTAAGGGAAGGGTGATGATGAGTCTCTGCCTAAATATCTACTAGCGCAGCAACTCTCTCCCACAACACTGGGCCTATTTGTAGTGGGAAACATCTGGCACAGGAGGGCCTGAGGACATGTTTGTAGCATGCCCTGGGATGAGAAGCTTGCTGTCGTTTTCCTGGGCAAACACCACTACTGCTTCACACCTGCAAAGGAACATTCCCTCAGGCTTGTCATTTCCCTATGTATAAGGAAAAGTGACCTTTTCTCTCTTTGCCCAGGGATACTGGTGGAGCAGTTTGTCCCCACCGGTCCACACCTGCAACTGTACAGCCCCCAGATGCACAGCTGGACTGACCTCACCCACTGGCACTACTCCACCATCTACCTCTTCTTCCTCCTCTCTGGCATCACAGATGTGATCTCACACTCCCCGCTCAAGCTGCCCCCTGGCTTGGACCGGCTCTCACTGTCCCTGGCTCTGCTTGTGGAAGGTGAATTGGACCTGATGCTAAGGGAGGAGGGGACACAGGATAAGGAATTGCTGCAGTGCTCATGGATGTGACAGCTCCTGGGCAGTGTGGGAGCCACAAAGCCAGACCTGAAGAGGGTGTGGATGCACAATGGCACTGGCTATGTGACAAATGGCCCTCCCTGCTCCTCTTAAATATGGATCTAGCCATAGCTGAATGCCACAGGGGATGCTTGTGGGATCTGTGCTTCTCCTGGTTGCCAGCAGCTCTCTCACTTTGGAGTAACAAAAATGTGTCATCCCCCCACCTTGGTTGGATACAGAGGGACAGACCCTGATACAAAACTCCCCACCATCTTTTGAGCTCAAGGTTCCCATCCCCATGCTCCTCCTGCAGCGCTGGCTGGGACACAGGGCTCCCCGCAGGTACACGGGCACAGGGACTTCCACAGATACAGGGGTTCCTCAGGAGCAGAGCAGAGCCAGTGCTGGGGCTGCCTGGTCATTGCAGAGGGAATGTGGTGACTGCAGCTGGTGGCTCTCTGGTTCTTCCCCCCAAGGCAGATCATGGCAAGGCCTGGAGCATAAGAGTGAGTTTTCAGATGATTTTTTCAAAAGAACAAATGCCCGAGTGTCTTTGCTAAGACAGGCTGGATCTTGGCAGGTTTGCTCTTCTGTTTCCGTGACTACAGTAATGCTCGGCTGGACCAGCACCTCCACTCCCTGCTGGCCATGGCTATCTTTGCCGGAGCCCTCTGTGCGCTCCTAGAGGTGTTCCTCCGAGACCATATCATCCTGGAGATCTTCAGGACCAGCTCCTTCCTCCTCCAGGGCTCTTGGCTTTGGCAGGTCAGTGTGTATCCAGCGTTCTCCTCAGATCTTTGCACTCAGGAAGGTGAGTGGAGTAGGGCTCTCTGCCCCTTTAGGCACATCTGTTGGAGTTAAATTTGTAGGCTGTTCAAATATCTTTGTAAATAAGAAGAGGAAATGAGGCTTAATGACAGCTGCCATTGTGAAGAAGTGCATTTGTAACATAGCAGCATGGACAGATCTGGAATGGAAAATAGAAATTGGAGCCCACAGGGAAGGAAACCATAATTGTGAATTTCTATTAATTTTATTAGGTCCATTTTCTTCCTCTGTTTGTTCCAAGTAACTGGAAATATGTGGAAATCTCTCATGTAATCGCCCAGCTTTTGGTCTAGGGGGAAATGCACAGACTGGTAATGTCACCTTTTGGTGTGTCACCTTTTTCTAGGATGATGGGCTCATACTGCAAGCCCTAAGGATTATCTGCAGAGAATCCATCTCCTCCTGACACCCTTGTGTCAGTAGTTGGGGAAGCCAAGGGCAGCACCCCAGGTGTTATTTGGGGTTATTGTCCACAGTCAACTGCAGCAGATGAGCTAAAAGCAGGAGGAAAACAGGAGGGATTTACTAAAGCCTGACTTCTCTTCCATCTGGACCAGATTGGGTTTGTGCTGTCCCCTCCATGGGGAGGACCAGGCTGGGATCAGAGTGATTCCAGCAACCTCTTGTTCCTCACCATGTGCTTCTGCTGGCATTCCATGGGTGCTCTCGCCGTTGTGACCACCAACGCTGCCGCATCCCGCTGGTATGAGGGGGTTCTGGCACTGTGCATGGGCTGGGGTGGCCAAGAGCCCAATAGTGGGCTGGGAAATCCATGCACCAATGTGCCATAGGATAAGAAGTGTGGGTGTCCACACATATCTGAGCGTGGCTTGTCTGGAAAGGGTGGGCTCCATGCCACCATAGAGCAGTCTTCCCAAGCAGGGTGGGGGGAGCCAGCGGCTCTCACTACCCACAAGTCCCTGACCATTGTCACTGTCTCTCCTGCAGCTGCAATGAGTCCTGCCAGCTGAAATTTGGGGACATCGACGTGGAGTTGGACTGTGGCTTGTGCCTTCATAGAGGGAAGAAGATCTCCAGTGGCGCCTTGCTGCCAGAGAGCAGCTCAGATGACAAATGAGGTTGTGGGCATGGAAGTCTCTTCCCTCATGATTTAGAGCTCTTGAGATGAGGTTTTTAATTAGTCTTCATAAACTACAGCGGCACTTGACAGTGGAGCATCAGAAGTAGGCGGCAGGACCCTGAGGTGGAGCATGGCAAGGAATGCAAAGACTTTCCTTCTGCATCCCTTTGGTAGCCACAGGTTCTTAATTCTCTGAGCTGCAGCTCAAGCTGCAGGCTGCAGGACTGTTTTGCTGTTGGAGTCCGACTGGTGTGGAAAATCTGACTATTTTTTTTAACATTTCCCTTCTGCTTCCTCAGAAGGGAGCCAAGCCAGCATTCAAAGCTCCTGGTGGCTGTCACTCTCTCTGGTGTTAATGGAAAGGGCTTTGTGCAAAGCTGAATGTACAGAGTATCTGTGATCACCAATAAAGTGCTTTAACACATCTCCTCCATGGATCTCTTGAACACCATGCTGCAGGCTAAGGCAATGTTGGCTTCAAAATGCTTGGGACAGTGGATGAAATATCTGAGGGGTAGGACTATGTGTTAATGTGGACAAATCTGCACAGGGAAGGGTGTGTGCCCAGTGGATGGAAAGGTGGCTACTCTCCTGCTTGCTTATCATCAGAAGCTGAGTTAGGCACATGGGCCAGGGGTTTGATGTTCCTGGGAGATAGGATGTTTGCTGGGCAGGGCGCTCAGCTGAAAGAGAAACCCTTGAAGCAAAATGATGGTTTCAGCTGGCTGGGGGTGGGTGTATGGATGGTCTTGGTAAGTCTCTGAGAGCCCTGCAGTGATCTCAGCTTTTCTCCAAGACCTTTATTCCACCCTGGTCAGTTCCAAACGAAACCTTCCAGTTAGGGGCATCACCTTGCTTTTGGGATCTCCTTTTGTTTGCAGAAGAACAGTGTGGAGAGAGATTCTTCCTGTGGGGAGAGTGGGAGCAAAACCAAATTAAAAAGATAGGAGTAGGAAGATTATTGAAAGAATATCACTAATCATTGTCCAAAAGTTAATCATCAGCATCTAAAATATTTTTGCCATGCCCTTGGCTGAGGGCTGGGCTGGGTGAACAGGGGAGCATAAACAGCATTGATTTTATTGTCTTGCAACACCTTTACTGTATTCCCCTAAGAAATGCAAGAGGCATTTTACTCTGAACACATCCCTGCTGTGCTGCACAGGCTGGGATGAAAGAAAAATTCCCCCTGGCTCAAACCTCTTGCAATTCCCAGTCCCATGGGAGCTCTCTGGAAGAGTGAGTATTGTCTATTTAGTTTTCCATTTTGCATTTTATTTTTATTTTTGTATTTTATTCTTATATTTTCTCCTTTTGGAGCAGGGCTGGAAGAGGACCAATGCTTCATGTCCAGAAAAAAAGCTTTGAGGAGCAGAGAAAACCAAGTAAATGCAGTATTTTGGGCTCCCATATTTGGCGCCTACATACAGAGGATGGCTAATTTGGATTCTGAAGCAGACAGCCCTCCTGAGCAATGGTTTCTCCAGGATCTGGTTGTCTTCAAGTCAGGTTGATGTGGATCCCCAGTACTGGAGTGATAGCTTGTATTGTGCTCCATAAAGGTGATGTGCTCCCATTGTTAATAATCCTCCTGGGACTAGAAGTGGGGTCATTGTGTCAAGTTGTTATAGACTGACTGCCACTAACAGGAAGCCCAGTGCAGAGGTTACAACCTTGTGTACTGAGCTTGGCTTGAAAAGAAGGGGAAAAACAATCTCTTTCCCCTTTGATCGACTGATGTTACTTTTTTCCTGTTTTTTTTTTCTGCCCAAATGTTATCTTTGCAGTGCTGAATCTCTTACTGAGGATTTTGTGACATAAAATGTCCATTTTGTTTGCGATGTTTCTTCTTTCTTTGAATAAATGTAAGAGTAAATAGTAATCATCCTGCTACATGTTTTGACAAGTTCTGTGGGATCACGCTCCAAGACTGAGAGGGTTTCCTTGAACAGGGCACCAAAATTACCTGTTACCATTTTAGGTGCTAGAGCTCCCCATATTTGAGATATGATTAATGTTTGTCATGTCAATAGAATAGAAAGAAGATATGAGGTTGTTGAGGCTGTGGCTGTTTGTTGAACAGTTCCCAGCTAGCCTGGCTGTGGGATTGAGATCTTCTCTAACATCTCTCTCAGTGAAGCCTGAGTGGAATAAAACTCATTGAGTAGAGAGTCAGCCCATGGCAGGGGGTTGGAATGAGATGATCTTTAACATTCTTTTCAACCCAACCCAATTCTGGGATTCCATGACTAGACAAGATGCAAGTGATCAGTAATGTCCCCATTGCTGGTCATGTGCTGTGGACACAGACAACCCTGAAATAGGTTAGAGCTGGACATGTGTTCTGTTGCAGTCCCTGCCTCTCCAAGGTGGATTAGGATGTGTGAGTTTCTCACTGGGGACCTCGTTATTTATCATACATAGACCTGACAGATGCTGTTCCTGTTATTTTCTGACAGAACATTCAATTCCTTGTGTAGCTCCTGTGGTCTGTCTGCACTGCTGGTCCCCAGGGAGATGCAGAGATGTGAATGATTTTCCTTTTCCATGGGCTGTGGGCTGTGATTCCCTGAAAATACCTTGGCCAAAAAGCAATGCTCTATCTCTTTGTCATTGCACACATTGTTAAGCTTTGAATGATGCTACACAAGCCAGGATCTAAGGTAATTCTTACCTGCATTTTACCCTTTTTTCTTGCCTATTGGCACATAGAAACACTAAGACTGGTGGTTTTGATGAAAAATATTTTCTGCTGCACAATTGAATTCGGAGAATTGATTGAGATATCCAGAACACACGTGCTGAAGTGTTCAGAAGGAACAGGGACCTTTGCTCTACCAGATTGAATTCACAAGCTGTTTCACAGCAAGGGCTGGGAGAATGTCATGGTAAGTTTTCCCATTTCCACAAATCCTCTGCTGCTGGTAAATGTCAGAAATAGGCTTTTACCTTGGAGGAACTGGCCATAGAAACCTTTGGAGGATGGCTGGGTGTAATTTTGGGTATCCTCTTGCCTCAGTAAGAGAGACTTCTTGAGACCTGCTTTACAAACCCTCAATACTCAGATTTGTCTGCAAAACCTTTTATTCTTATTGATGAGAGATTTGCTGGAGATTCACAATTTGAAGAGGAGCTGAAATTAGCACTTTTTAAGCACCACTAAAATTCATTGTTTCAGCTTAATTATTAAACTTAGCTTCCAAATGTAATGCAATTGCTGTTCAGAGGAGAATTGGATTTTCTAGGTCACTCATCTCTTCCAGAACTTATAAATTTTCATTACTTTTTTTTTGGGTTTTTTGTAAATCTTAATGCATTTCTTGCCTATTAACTCAAGTGAAAGAAACAACAGTCAGCAGTACATGGTTATTTTTCCCTGAGGATGCACAACCTGGATTTCACCCAAGGTTGTGGTGAGGCTGCACCTTGAATTGTGTGTTCAGGTTTGGGTCCCTCACTACAAGGAAGACATGGTGGTGCTGGAGATTGTCCAGGACCAGAAGGGAGCAGAACTGGACAAGTACTGCCAAGGAGGGGGAAGTTTTCCAGCTCTGGCTGGAGTAGTTTTCTTGGGAGGCTGGAGGTTCTGGGATTGCCTGGGTGGTGATCATGAAGTGTTTGGTGGAGAGGAGGCTGCTCCTGCTTCAAGGATTCTCTGGGTTCCAGCAAGAGTTACACAGTGTAACAGGGGTGATAAACTCACTGTCAATTGCTAATGTATTTCCACTGGACTTGGTGAAACTTCAGACCAGCAAATCATTTGCTGAATGCATGTATATAATGAGATGCTCAAATATAATGAATCTTAAGAGTTAGAGTGGCATTATTGAAAAATATACAGTTTTCCCCTGGATGTATCATCTGTGGAGTCTCATAGTGCTCACCTCTTTCCTGACATGTCTGTGAATTCCTGGTAGGTGTTTCTTTTCCCAGCACTGCTTTGAAAATAGATACCAGTGACTGTGTTTCGTGGGGGGAAAGAAAATTTAAAAATCCAGGTGTGACAATGTGTTTCACAAAAAAAATTGCCCTGTTTATTAACCTTAATAATATTTATTTTCTCTGCAGGCCATGGGGAGTTTTATGCACTGTGTGAGTACTGAGGCTGGTGTTAGGATGCCTCCTGTACCCAGTCTCTGCTGCTTCTGTGAGGTGTTTTGTATTCACTAGGAGCATCCTTTTCAGCACAGTGGAGTCTGGTGAGATGGTTATTACACATCCTACTGATTTCCAGAAAGCAAATTGGAAACACCTTCCATGCAGCTGTTTAAATCTTTTGAACCTTTTGTCCTTAGGACACCTCAGCAAACCTAGCTCATCTTTGGAGTCTCCAGCTGCAACAGCAGCCAGGTTTCTCTCTGCCTTCTTGCCTTAGTTTAAAGTTGGATATAAAGAAAGTTTTTTCTAATGCTTAGTATCATTATCCAGTACTTTCCTCTGGTTTGACTGTGTGTGCTGGGTAGAGATACCCACATATGGTGATATTGTGGTGGGAGCATGAGTTACCTGGATTTGAACCATGAGCTGCCAGCACTACTTGTCTACCTAGCTTTAAGCCATCAGTAGTGTAGCAAAACCAGGAAAAGCTGCTCTCCAGAACCGGTGCTGGGATGCTGAAAGAACAGAAAATTGCCTCTTGTTCACCCTCCTATATTGGTGAGTTCAATTGCCCCTCATTTCTCAGGGTCATACCTCTGGAAAATAAAGTATGTAGTTCTTGCACTAATGCGTGAGCGTAGTAAACAGGTGTAATTTGAATCTAATAACATTTTTATTTGATTTGCAGAATATTTGTGATTCATCTTTCTGCTTACCTGATGTGTTGCCCTACAATGTGCTACCAGTGCTCCATCAGCTGCTGAGTGCTGTCACTGCCATGAAAGGGGGGAAAAAAATGTCCTTTCTTGCTGGGTTTAGGTGGTTCTTTTTTCCCCCTGTGGGCTGCTGGCATCTGATTGACACAGTACAGCTCTTCTTTCTTCCTTTGTTTCTTTCTCTGTTTTTTCCTCACTGGGAGACTTTATTTGCAACACAATGGACAAAACCCACTTAATTCTGCAATTTATCAGAAAAAAATATTCTACCTGGCCAAGCTGTGGCACAGCTCAGGTGATGACTGGGTCTTAACTACACCTTGGGCCCCAGCAATGTCACAGAGACAGAAATTTTTATTCTTAAATGTGAAACTGATTTAGTTTATCTTAAAATTGTGTCCTGGGTTGATTATGATGTTAAATTGTATCCCCATTCATCCACCTAACCCAGACACAGATTTTGTATTCTTAAAATTCCATCTGAGAGTAAAAGTGAGTGGAAAAGAAGCACCAAGTCTGTTATCAGACTGTACTTGCTCCCCCCGCATCAGGAGTTTTGACTACAGCACAGACAGACAACAAGACACAAATCGCCTTGGCTTTCCAACTAGCCG